ACAAAAAAGACATGCTCTTTTGATTGGATACATGCAAACAGATTCACCAAGAACGGATGATGACGTCTGGTCGCTACCTACAGATAAAATTCACAAAAAGATTGTACATCAAAGAAAGCAAAGGTTAAAGACAACCAAATTATAGAAATGGAGGAACAATAAGATCTACTATGCAAAGATTAAAAACAATGAAAATGTTTTATGAGAGAAAAGATAGTTAAGAACTGACCCCCTAAACTTCTGACAATACTAGGCCTCCTTTTTATCCCTTCCTTATAGCTCCCCAGAACCATCTTAATTCCAAAATAAAGCTTGCTCGACTCAAAAAAATATATCAAATTTAAATTACAGTACGGTCAACTAAAGAAAGAAATGATATACGTGACAGACATGACAGACCTCAAAAATCCTTTTTTCCACCATTAAAGACTCCACTTCATCACGTCCCAAAATGTCTCCCTTCTTCAAAGCTTTCAAAGCGTAGAACTCACCAGTTGGTTTGTACTGCGCCAAGATAACCTGAAAATGTTATACCATTTCTGTAGAAAATGTGAAACACACAAGATTTCTTAACGTCTCAACATCCCCAGAATCGAAAAAAATTACAATTCTTCAAAAGTACAAAATATTTTGTAAATCATACTCATATACCTTCCCAAAATGACCTCTTCCGAGAACCGAGATAAGTCTGAACTTCTCAATAGTAACTGCGCTGGATGACCGCTCACTTTTCAGTGCTGGCTTTAAAGGCACTTTTGGATACTCCACACTTTTTTGTGCACTCTCCGTAGAACCTGGTAAAACTGACACTTTCTGCATTAAAGGAGTAGACTGACGCCGGCTGGAAACTGCAGTGCTAGGCAGCTAAAAAACAAAAACTATGTTACAGTAAGCGGTTATCGAATATTGTAAAATAAAGTGAACAAAACTGACGCTATTACGAGAAAGGGAAAAAGAACTGTTGTCAATTTAGAATAGCTTCAGCGGGATTTCAATCATAAAAAGAGAAAGAAAAGAAAACTCAAATTAAAATTACACAACCTTTATGTCATCTAATGTTGCAGCTTGTGCCTGTTTCAGATGCTTTTGCTTTGCTATCTCTGCAGCGGCGGCACCAGCAATCCCATGCCCTGCATAAGTACTGTGCGACATTGATGCAGGAGGCCGGGAAGTTGATAAGTCAGGTAAAGGTTCGTAGGGCAGTCGAGATGTTACAATGACTGACGATGGCCTTTCGGCATTGAGCCGTGCTTGTAAGGTGGGTGCGCTTTTCCCAGCAGGAAGTAAGCCAATAGCTTAAAAATGATAAAACTTGAAATTGGTTATCTAACACTCGAAAGCTTGATGTATTCTTAATGGTTCCTGGAAGACAGGAATTACTGACAATGTGGGACAGCACTCCCCGCGCCGTAAAGGGCTGGACTTGTCACAGGCTCGGAACCACCATTTGTCTGTGATCCACCAAACTGTTTCATAAGACGGCTCCACGCAGCAACCCCAAGCTGCTTCTTTGCGCCAACTATTTCCTTTCTTTCTAAAAAATAAAACTGGAAATTCAGAGAGAAACTATTAGTAAATAGATGCTGAGATCAAGTAAAACAGAACACAAAA